TAGGGTGCAAGCCTCAGCAAATAAAGTGGAAGGGAGGCCTTGTAGGACCAATACCTCCAACATTCTCCACCTTATTGGTCCTAGGTGGTGTACAGTAACAATACAAGGTTGTGACAAGACTCATCATCGTCGGGTCACCCGGAATATCAAAAGACAAAGCGGGCAAACACTTTATTACGCAACCCACAGTTATCCACAATCAAAGTTTAACACGCGTTTACAGGACAAGTGCTTCTCAGCAGAAAGACACTTGGTACCCATATCCGCGGGGTTAAACTCGGACGGGATCTTGCACAGCTTGACTCCACCTGCATCAACAATATCACGTATGAAATGGAACCTAACATCAATATGCTTAGTTCTATAATGAAATACAGGATTTTTGCAAAGTTGGATAGCCGATTGGCTGTCCGAGAAAATGGTAACTCCCTTTTTGAGAAACCCAATTTCGGAGACAAGGCGTTTGAGCCTGATGGCTTCCTTAAACGCTTCTGTGGCTGCAACATACTCGGACTCAGTGGTAGAAAGGGCCACAATAGGCTGTAGTTGAGACTTCCAACTAATGCAAGAGCCACACAAAGTAAAAACATAAGAAGTGGTCGACTTCCTGTTATCTCTATCATTTGCATAGTTACTGATGGACAGTCTACCCGGGGGGTATCTTATCCGAGGGGTTATTGCGGAAATAACTAGAGAGAAGTCAGAGCAAATAGGAGGAGAGAGAGTCGATTTTATTAAATGAACTCGAGATGTGAAAGTTGGGATGCCGATCGTTTACAAGGAGAAATGGGCTGCTATTTATAGCAGCAATAAATGCGATGAGAGTACACGTGTTAGTAATCAAACGGCCGAGGGGTCACATCAGCCAGGTGGCACCGGCAGTGGTACGTTCACCGCATTGAATGCGGTTGGCGGATGTGACGTGGTATTAAATGCGGTGGTTGGCTGTCTCCAAAACGAATCTTCGTTGATCGAGCATGTTTGGCCGAAGGCTCCTTGTGTAGTCGACGGCTCCATGTGACCAAGGACCCCTGTGTAGCCGAAGGCCTTGTGTGACTGAAGGTTTGGTTCAGCCGAAGGTTTCTCTGATGCCGTGGGCTTGATGATGCCGAAGGCTCATGTTTTTCGCCGTTTTCTCCCAGTAGCTTCTTGTGCCAGAGAAGGCTATCCTGTGAGTTTTGGAGCCTTCGGCCAAGGAGGCCGAAGGCACCCCAGTGTGTATTCTGGGCTACTTTGAGGCTTGGGCCGTCGCATTTGGGCCTGAGTTGTTCTCTGGGCTCAATGGACTTGTGTAGGAGAAGTAGGAGTCTATGGGCCGGGGGTTCCTGGGCCATATACTCCATCAAGAGTCCCTCACTCCTTTTGCCGAAAGGTACTTGAGGAAAAAGGAGTAGATGTGTTGATCCTTCTAGAGGCTTCATCATTTGGTTGGGCGCCTTTGCTTGAGAACTTGCCTTCTGCTGATTGCCGAAGGCTTCCCTCAGTCCCTCACATGTCGAGGGTTTTCTGAGGGAGGTATAACACCTGTATGACTGGCGAAGGCTTTCCTCAGTCCCTCACATGTCGAGGGTTTTCTGAGGGAAGTATAGATAATGTATTGCCCGCATGTGTTGTGATGAAGGCTGCTTCACTACTACAAGTGATTTGGGGAAAAATTTTGATACCTATTTTCTGCCGAAGGGGTTTATTAAAGTATGTACCTGAGGGTTTCTACTTTGATGTTCGCCCGGAGGCTATATGCGTCAATTGTAGATTTTTGTTTGAGGAATTTTGTTTTGTGTGATTCCCGAGGGGTGTATCCCAGTCCCCCACTCCTTTAGGCTGAAGGCAAGTTCGGGCTGAAGGAGTCATGATGTTTGCGTGTATCTCCGAGGGGTGGTAATATTGATAAGCCGAAGGTGTATATTGCGGGTTGCTCGAAGATGCTTGGCGACATACGTCCCCCGAAGGCTCTAATCAATAATAGCCGAAGGCTATCGTCTGAGGTTGCCTCAAGAGTTTCCAAGATCGATTCGTTTGAATATGACCGTTGGAGGTGGGGTCTATGTGGCGTGTTCCTGTTGGTTGAAGGGGGGCGGGTGCCACCCATAGGCTGAGGCGGCGGCCCGTAATGATTTGGGTGAATTTTTGGTTATTTTAGGGAGGTTTTCTCACTTGATTGTGTTCAACCTCTCAACGAGAGCACCATTGTTGGATAATTGATACCCATATTATATAAACAGGAGAAATTGAACAAGAATCAAAAGGAGTAATGGAGAAGAAGAAGAAGAAAATGTGTATAGAATGAATATTTGTTATATGAGTTACAAGCCTCCTATAAGGAGTATAAATAGGGAAAATCCGGGTCTGGGCCTCTAATATGGGCCTGACAGACCCGGTTACATAAATGGACTGGTAGTATAAAAAGCTAATCTAGAACATCTGAATAATAATAATAATGTACAATAATATTAATGATATCCACTAAACGTGTGTGGGCCGCTGTCCAGGCCTAGTAGTCGGCATATCGGGGGGTCGGAGTCCATATAATCCATCAGTTACAATCAACATAACCAATCAATTCAATACCACTAGCACATTTAGAGAAAATTAATCCATTCTTCACAGTAGATATCAAATATCTAAGCAACCACTTAAGAGCATTCCAATGGGGCAAACCAGGGTTGGACATATATCTACTCAAGCAACTAACGACATATGCAATATCAGGTCTAGTGCTAACCATAAGATACATCACCGACCCTATTGCACTGGAATAGGGCACAGATTTCATTTTCTCAATTTCAGGAGCAGTCTTGGGAGACTGGTCCTTACTTAACACAAAGTGAGATGCCATAGGGACATTAACACGAGAAGCAGATAACATATTGAATTTACTCAAAACCTTTTCTATGTAAGAAATCTGATTCAAAGTAAGAGTACGCTTACTCCTATCCCTAACAATGTTTATGCCTAGGATCCTCTTAGCATCACCTAGGTCTTTCATGGCAAAATTCGCACAAAGGCATTTTTGCACATCTTTAATAGCATTCACAGAAGGACTAATTATCAGCATGTCATCCACATAGAGTAACAAAAATACAGGCACAGAAGAAGTATTTTTGAAATACAGGCAATGATCACAAACAGATTTTTGGAACTTCAAAGATATCATGCATTTGTCAAATTTGATGTTCCACTGCCTAGGGGATTGCTTCAGGCCATACAAAGCCTTCCTAAGCAAACATACATGCTCACTTCTCTTGGGATCCACAAAGCCCTCAGGCTGGGTCATATAAATTGTTTTATCCAATTCACCATGCAAAAATGCAGTAGTTACATCCATTTGTTTCATTTCCCAGTCATGTTGAGCAACTAAAGCAAGCATCATACGAATAGTGGTGAATTTAACAACAGGAGCAAAGATTTCTGCATAATCTACCCCATCTTTTTGAGTAAACCCCTTCGCAACCAACCTAGCCTTAAACCTAACATCACTAGGTTCTTCCTTAACCTTAAACAACCACTTACACTCAACTACCGAACAGTTGGGGGGTCTAGGTACAAGCTAAGGGTCCAAGTCTGGTTCACTCTCAAAGAGTCCATCTCACTTTTCATGGCACTAATCCATTTCTGAGACTCTTTGGAACCTAAGGCTTCACGGTAGGTCTTGGGTTCATTCAGCTCTATGGATTCAAACACAGAAAATGCAAACATAGAAGTATCATGCACAATGAAAGCATAATCAGGCATACTATCAACAGTTTTCCTGATAGCCCTTCTACTCCTATCTCTAGCAAGTTGATAATTATGCAGATCATCACTACTAGGCTTCACATGCAACTCATGCAAATTACTGTTATCATGAAAATCAGATTCAGCACCCATATCATGCAAATCATGCTCAGTATCATGCAAATGATCCACCTCACTCGAGGTGGTGGGACTATCATGCTCAGAGGAATCAGAATCATGCATAACAATATCATCATAAATAACAGGATCAACAGATAAAGGACTAGCAGCAACAGGGACAGACTCCACCTCACTAGGAGTACTATCAGACCTAGACTCAGGATTAGAAACAGACTCGGTCAAGCAAGGAAAATCAGTTTCATTGAACACCACATTTCTGCTAAGGACCACTTTAAAGCCTACCTGGTTCCTATCCCATAACCTGTAACCCTTTACCCCCTCTAGATAACCTAGGAAGACACATTTCTTTGACCTAGGATCCAACTTATCACCCTGTTGATGTGCATATGCTGCACAACCAAACACCCGAAGGTTAGACAGATCAAGAGGCTTACCGGTAAAGACGGTTTCAGGACACTTACCACCAAGAGGGACATTCGGGGACCTATTAACCAAATAGGCAGCAGTAGTTACTGCTTCACCCCAGAATTTCTTAGACAAACCAGATGTAGTTAACATGCTTCTAAGTTTATCCAACAGAGACCTATTCATTCTCTCTGCTATCCCATTCTGTTGGGGAGTATAAGGCACATTTTTGTGCCTTTTTATCCCACAATCCACACACAGCTTATCCATCTCCTTATTACAGAACTCTAACCCGTTATCGGTCCTAAGGGTTTTAACCTTCCTGCCAGTTTGGTTTTCAACTTGGGTTTTCCACCCCCTAAACCTCACAAACACATCAGACTTGTGTTCTAAAAGGCAAACCCACACCTTCCTAGAGAAATCATCAATGATAGAAAGGAAATATTTCCTACCCCCGTGGGTAGGAACACTGGCAGGACCCCAAACATCGGCATGAACATATTCAAGCACAGACGAACACTTAGACAGATTAGGGTAAGAGGAAGGAGGGAAGCTGACTTTATGCTGCTTGCCTAACACACATGATTCACAGAAAGGCACAGAAGTCACAGAGTCCTTACCAAAATACCCGACCTACGCATGACATCTAAACCCTTATTGCTCATATGTCCTAGCCTATTATGCCACAGAGAGGTCTTATCAGAACATACAACATTCGCGGAATTAGCAAAAGGTTTAGCATGACACACATAAAGGTTATTCACCTTCTCAGCTTTGAACAAAACAAGGGAATTTTTCAAAATTTTCATGCAACCATTCCCCCACTTTCCCTGTAAACCACTACTCTCCAAAGCAACAACAGATAACAAGTTATGATACAAATCAGGGACATGCCTCACATTCTTAATGGTAAACACAGAGCCACAAGAAAACTTCAGACATATATCACCAACACCAAGCACATTGCATCTCTTATTATCAGCTAAGGAAACGTAGCCACTATCACATAATTCATATGTAGAAAACAAATCTCTAAAAGGGGACATGTGATAGGTACAACCAGAGTCAATCAACCATTCATGCTCAGACAGAGAATTTCTCACAGAATTAACATGGTCACAAACCATCAAAATATCACCAAGGTCACATCTATCAACAGCTACACTAGCATGCTCGGTCTTCTTAGGGTTAGGGCAATCCTTAATGAAATGGCCAGCGTTACCACAATTGTAACACTCTCTCTTCAAAGTGATTCTGATGTCTCCATGTAACACCCCCAAATTTCCCACCCGAAAATAATACTTTATTAAAAAGAAATATCAACTTTATTTGAAAAACATCAGAGTTATGCAGCGAAAACCAAAAGGGAAATAGGGGCGTTACCGCCACACTCGGCTCTTCCCTAACCGAGTGCACAGGCTAAAACAACTTAACTCCAAAAACAGATATTCACTAACTAAAGATATTGAAAAATTGAATTACAATGATTTACTAATTAGGTGTTCTAGCGGAATCTCTCTCGAATCAACATCGTCATCAAATAGATACTCAAGCTTTATCTCCTGCACAAATAAGGTGCAGAAAAAGAAAGAAAAACAAGAAACAAAAATTAGCCGGAAATGCTAAGTAAGTCCCACCCAACCCCGTAAAATAATCACGTTTGATACATATATAAAATTTTTGCAAAAGATTTGGGAGGAAAATCTTTTCAAAACATTCATACCAATCATAAGTAAAACAATATTTATAATAAATCCTCATAACATAATTCATATGTAAAATAATAATATTCCAAATCATAATAATTCCAACATTAGAAAATGTAATAAAAACTCTCATAAATATTCCAAAGCATATATCATATACACAACTCCAAATATCCATCTCAAAACTCACTTAATCACTTTATCACAATCCTTACAAAACACATAATCAATATCCACAAATATGTTTTCCAAACCAATATCACCAGTATTTGTACTTAAGTAATTCACAATTTATAAAATACCAAAACATTTGATTTACCTCAAAATAGCTTTATAGCTAATTCTCCTAGTTCATTTAGAAGGGCGGTGCTCAAGCGTTATCTCGATTCTTGAGCCCAGTGATCCGTTGTTTTGTACGGTCACTCCGATCTGCTCTCGGTACCACATCTCCTCTATTAGAATCTAGACTTCTACCTTAAGTGTGCACACCCCCTAAAGGGATTCCAAGCCCTCCGAGTAGTATGAAGTCTAAGTAGTTCTGACGTCAACGTCTCTCTACTCCAAATGGGATATGCTCCCTAAGTTCTAGGTTCAAAGACCCTTAAGAGAATAGGTACTACTACTACTGCTCTAATAAAAAGGGATCTAATGCCCAGTTGTTCGGGATGGTTACCGAACCCTCCAAAATTCATTTAGTTTGTTTCACACCTCTCAATTCAAGTAGTAGTAGTCCTAACCCTCCCTCACCATTAACGGACGTGAAGGTGGCCCGACACCTACGGATTTCTCCCGTGGTGCCCCAATTATGAAAACAGTCTTTTATCTTGTTTTTGTCAAAAATCAATATTTATGTCTTATAGACATTAGTGTCACCATTAAAAATATTAACTTTTCTTTGTTTTTTTCAAAATTCAATCAAAAGTTCGTATCTTTCAAAATACGCTAAAATTCCCATATATTTTCTCAAAATCCAATTTACTCACAACAGCACCAAAATATTCACCAATAGAAAATCTCCCAAAAATCATATACAATAACTTGTATCAAAATCCAATAATAACAAACCAATATATCAAGTACAAACAACTTCATATAGAATAACATTTACTCAAATTTAATACACATAAATACATTACTCAAATTGTACATTAAAACATTCAAAATAATTACGAGGTAAAAGGTATAATTTTGGTTGCAATGAAACTTACCTCAAACTTCAAGTACTCCTAGCAAAATTCTTCTACCTCCATCTTTCACCACAAATCACCTTCTAAGAATATTAAAATTCTAATATCAATAATTTTACTTCTTAATGGATTAATTGGTCCAATCTGTTTTATCATTATGTTAATAAATTATTAATTAATATCCGAGTCCACTTGGTCAATCCAGTTAACAATTATTGTTGTTGTTATTATTATTATTATTATTATTATTCATTTTCAAATCATTATTTTTAATCCAACTGCAACTTTGATCAAATACGGCCCAACCTTTATTAAATCAGATCCGGCCCCCTTTTTCTTTTGAGAAGGATCGATCGCAAAGGCCTACCCCTGCGTCGACTTCTTCACGGAACGCCGGAAACAACAAAAAGATGCAGAGTGGAGGTTAACTTACTACTGCAGCAACGGACGAGTGGCAAGGCGGCGTGTTTGAAGATGGTGAAGATCGGCAATGGACTGGAAGGATGTGATACGTCAGCTTTGCTTCGGGTTTTCGACGTGAAGATCAGTCCGGCAAGACTCCGGCAAACGATTTATCCCTCGTTTCATCGTTTTCAGCGCTTCTTGCTTCGTTCGCTTTCTCTCAGTCGGCCGAAGTGTTGAATGGAGAAACTGCAGGCCAATGAGAACATATTTATACCGATAAGGGGATACCCTAGGCTGTGTATATCATCCGGTTGGTTAAGTGTTTGAGTTTATGCGATCCAATTTTTACGCGCAGGCTGATTTTTATCCCCAAGCTTCGCACGTTTAAGTTAGTTTCCGGGTTTCCTTGAACGAAAATCTCCGGATGGAATGTATCTGGACGCTATATATACGAGTATACGCATGTGCGAGTAAATATGGTAGGCAATATCGATGTTTAATGAGTTTCCTTGTACAAGTTTATGAGTATATACGTTACATATGTACGTGCGTATAGGGTAAATTAGGTTGAAAAGTCAACATGTGCATTATTTATAGTCATATATGATTGTACAAATAGTATTAATTAATTGTATTAATCAACATCTTTTAAACTATCAATCCTAATAATCTTCCTCCTATTCCACATTATTTATGAAAAAGAAAATCATTACTTTGTTACATTATCCTAAGAATTCACTTTTCTTAAAATTTTATCTAATTCACTTAATTATGTGCATGTCACTTTGAAACATTTTATTTGATCAATAGAACTATTTATATATTTTTTTTTATAAAATTTTCGGAGTGTCACACTCCACTTCTCCAACCAGAGAAAAGAAAAGGAAGAAATCCAGCTCTCCTCCCAAGGAATCAGAACCTCAGGGGGAACCAGCACCAGAGTTGGCTGCTGCACAAGAACCAGCACCGGAGAAGGCTGATGCTCAAAGGGAACCTGCATCAGAAATCCAACCCTTCTCAGAACAAGACTTGCATATCTCTACATCTCCACCAGAGAATCTGATCATTCAAATCCCAGAGATGGATTCCCATGCTGCTCTAGACAGACAGTTCCAAAGGGTACTCATCTGGAGAAAATGGAGAATGGGGCCTCTGCAGCAAATCATTGCTCAAGCTGCCCAGTTTGAATCTGAGGAAGAAGAAGTTCTCAAGTGGGCAGGAACTGATGATGTCTCACTCTGCTTCGATCTTCAATTCCTACACTCTATTTTGGAAGAGAAGAAGGGAAGTCTCAAAGGGAAGGAGAAAGTGACTGCTTCACCATCAGAAGAGCATGTCAAACCTCTATCAGAGAGTGAGATTCCACCCTTTGAAGAATGGCTGTTGGAAAAGAAGAGGAAGGAGTCACTGATCAAGATGAAACCGATCCCAGGTGCAGAGGGTGAACCATCTACTGTCAATAATGTAGCTCTGACAATGATGAATCTAATCAAGGAATGGAGAAACTCCTCGTTTGAAGAAACAGTCTTAGAGGTAATACCTGAATCCCCCATTCCTCTGATTACTTTGCAACCCACTCCTTCACCCAAGAAAACCCCATCTCCTTCACCTAATCAACCATCACCTTGCAAAACTATAACCCCCATCAGAAATCGTTCACCATCACCTCCCCCATCTCCCAAACATCAGAACACTCCTGTTCAGCAGACCTCCCTACATCTGAGCCCCCACCATCAGAAATCCAAGTCTGTCTCTCATCAACAGAAGCCATCATCCAAACCTCCTTCTCATCAACACTCTGCTGCTTCCACCCAAAAGAGAGAACCTGTTGCTAGGATTCTCTCCTCCACTGAGGACAATGATGGATTTCTCACATCCTCATTGGCTGGGGACCTCCAATCAAACAAGAGGAAGACTCCAACCCCTCCTCCATCCCCTGCTCAACAACAGCCTCCGAAAGGTGATACCCCTCTTCCAGTGCCCCCAAAAGCAGTCCTCACCCCCTTCCAGGAGTTTGTGGAATCAGCTGAAGACTTTGGAGACCAGATGATTGCTGGGCTCAACAAAATGCTTGTACTGAATCAGAAGCATGATGCTCACCTTGATTTGGTTCAGTACAACATTGAGTCTGAACTTACCAAGATTTCCACTACACTATCTACACTGGCAACTACCTTCCTAAGCTACATGAAAACATCCAATGAGAAGGTAGATAACATAGCCTCAGAGGTGGCCAGCATCAATACGGTCCTCTTCTCACAATCTCTGACCCTTACTGCTCAAGACAAGGCCATTCAGGAGCTGTCTGATGCTGTGGATGATCTTCAATGGTCCTCTGATAAGCATGCTGAGCACCTAACAGATGTAGAGGACATCTGCAAAACCTTGAAGGAGTTTGACATCAAGTTGATCAACAGTGGAAAGGACAGAGATCACAAGCTGACTCTCCTTGAAGCTACCTCCAAAGACATCCACTCTACAGTCAACAAGCAGAAGGAATTGATTGAAGGCCTTGCCTCTGTAACCCAGACTCTTCCTGGGGCTCTGGAAGCAATCAAAGAAAATCATGCTACAGAGTTCTCCAAGATTGGACTCCTACTTGGCGATCTTGCTGATGCCAAAAAGGGGGAAGATATCAGAAAGCCTGCTAGAGCTATCAAAGCTGCAGAAGGATCCAGCTCCAGAGCTCTGACTCTTACACCTACTCCTGATCCTACAATCTATTTTGAGAGAGCAAGGCAGAAAAAGCTTGCTGAAGGAATTCAGAGACCTCCTCCTCCTCGCTCCAAGAAAGGGAAGAAGCAAACTCCCTCCTTCACTCTCAACCAATGGCTGAACAGTGGGATGTCCAAGCCTGATACAGTGCAATTTGCAGAACTGAAGAAGCACTTGACTCCCCTGCAGCGAGAGAATCTTATCCAAGATGAGAATGGCATCATAACCATTGCTCATGGAGGATCAATTCAGGAAGCAGAAGAGTGGTGGAGACTAAGAGTGATTCCTGGCAAGGATGAAAGGGATGCAGTGAGATATTATCTGGATTGCCAGCTTGAACCTACTTGGTCAGAATATCAGAATCCCAGGAACCTTGCTGAAATCAGAGCCAAGGTAAATGCTGATCTAAAGGAACTTGAAGCAAAGGAAGCTCAGCTAGAAGAGGAAGATCTCTAAACTCTATCCTCTTGTTGCTTTAAATATCTTCTTTCAAATTATATGAAATAACCAGTTTGCCTCTAATTTGCATGGCAATTTCAAAATATTTTGTCACCACTTGCATTTTGATTGGTTTTATTCTCTGATACTTTGTTCTGTTCAATTTCTTTATGCTTATTTGATTGATTGTATCGTACTCTTACTATTTTCCTATGCCAAGTGCTCACCAAGATTTGTAATGGAAGTTTGTAACCTTAAATTTTCTTTTATGATGAAAGGCACTTCTCTGGAAATAGTTTAAGGGTTTTGGCATCATCAAAAAGGGGGAAATTGTAAGGAATAAATGTAATTAGATTTTGATGATGTTAGGATATTAGAAATTTTAGAATACCCCTACTTAGACTTTATGTATTAGAATTTTCAGCTGTAAACATTAGTATAGTCGACATCAGAGTTGCTAAGTGGATCTGATCAGAGTTGCTATATGAGAACTGCTTTCTGAGTCACTCTCGGAAGTCATGAGAGTTGCTCATCAGAGATGCACCAGAATTGATCTCGGGAAGTCATGAGAACTGCTCCATCAAAGTTAGTACATCAGAAGTGCCTTCAGAGTTGCACTATGAGAGTTGCTAGTTAAACTGGTCATCTGATAGACTATGAGAGTTGCAAATCAGAAGTACACATCAGCGGACCTATCAGAGTTGGTACCAGAGCTGGAGTTCAGTCAAACATCAGACAGCCATCAGAATCCAACATATCAGAAGAACCCGATCAGAGCCCGACTAACACTTAGAAGAACTCGAAGCTGCTTTCAACGGCCGTATATCAAACGGGAAATTCCCCAACGGTTAGAAGATATCTCATCTAAGGAAAGCATTCAATGCTCATTTAATGAGCCTGATACGCTATGGAGTTATTGCAGATGATTGACCGAGATTCCTGGTGAATATTATACAAAAATAGAAACCTGCCAAAACTGCGGGTCCAACCGGTCAAATCCACAGTATGCGCATTCAATGCAGTTGTCTCCTCCTCCAACGGGCAGACAACCTCAGTATAAAAGACGCTCGATGAAGAACAACCAAATAACTTTGCTACAACTTTTGCTCTCATCATAAGCATTCTTGAGATTCAAAACTTCTCAATCATAAACAAGAAAAAGCTTACGTTGGGAAGATTCAAACTCTAAAAATCTCTCAACCCCAACAAAAGCAAAGTTCATCCTGTTCTTCAACCTTCAAGATCTTCAACTACACATCCTTTGTAACGAAGCAAGTTGGAGAAAACTCTGTTTTCCAGAACATCTTCTGCAAAGAAGGGCGTCCAAGTAACTGCAGTAGTGAAGTTGTGATACTCCCGGGAAGCTGAGTGAAAGGACCAGTCATCAGGAAGCAGGACTGCATCCCGGGTGACAACTAGACTTGAAGAAGGCGTGGAGAACTTCTTCAGTGCTAGGGACTAAGCTTTGTAACCGTTTACCTCAAAGCTAGTGGAACGGTGGACTAGAGGAACGCGTTGTTCCTTGAACCACTATAAAAATCCCCGGTGTCATTTACTTTATTGCATTTATTTTCTGCACTTAGGATTTTAACTGATTAACTCTAAGACTTGGAATCTGTGTTCAGCAGATCTTGTTTTCAGAGTTATCAGAAAGGCATTTGCCTTAGTATTTTTGAGGCTACCCGGAACTCTTATCCGCTGCTAGACCAGTTCTGATCATCAGAACTCGACCCTCAAGTCAACTCTGACTTAGAGAAAAGTTTGAAAAACTATAACAGTCTATTCACCCCCCCCCCCCCCTCTAGACTGTTACCAACTTAAACGGGACCAACACCAAATATCAAAATATGTTTTTTCATTAAATGGAAGCATACCATACTGATTCGCAGCCATGGTATCAACCACAAAGGAACACAAAGCTAAACAGACAGAATTGACAAAAAAAACCAACCCAGGCTATAAAGTATTCACTTTAAACACCCCGGGCAGCATGCAACACATAGCAAAAATTGACATTTTGGCAATTAAACAATTCCGGGCAGCAATTTAAAATTAATTAATTCTACCCCTACAACACAATAAACCACCCCTACGCATAACAATTGAATAAAATAACACTTAGTAATTCAATTAACAAACTAAAACAGTCTACCACAAAGGAGAAGGTTTAGAAAGTACCTGGGGGGTTGGCGGCCGAGATTAAATCAACCGGCGGCCCGCGGGGAGGGGGAGTAAATTAAATTAAATTAAATCCGGAATATTACAAATAGGAAGTTTATCGGAAACTTACCTTCGCGAAACCCTAGGAGAGCGTTTCGACCTTACCTACCCAATTTAAAAAAATTGGGATTTTTTCTGAAGAGTTGACTGTCGTTGACCGTCGTTGACCAGCGTTGACTGGCGGCGGTTGACTGGCGTCCAGCAGCTCCAGCCCGGTCCAAGTCAGCAATCCAGCTTTAGCCCACCAACCCAACTTCAATCCAGCAGCTCAGTTTCAGGCTCCAGCCAGCGGACCACAGTGCTCTTTGCTCTTCGTCCCC